TATCATGTGAGTTGTAGACCCGCAGCTCAAATGGGCGTGTCGTATCTCTACTGTACAGTACTGTACTTGTTTTTATCAATCTGGTAACAGCGAGTTCAGCGGCAGGGGAAATGCATAAATGAGAGCAATTCGGTGGGTGGCAATGAGTGCATGGAGTAAAATCTAAAGCTTTTGCACGAAATATAATTCTGAGTTCTTGCAACAAAAAAAAAAAGAAAAAGAAAAATCACCTTTTTGTGAAAACAAAACAAAAAAAAAACAACACGTTCTTGTGCCCTTCATACATTCCAACGTAAGAGGAAGTCGAGGCTGGAATTCCCAGCATGCCCATTGCAGATAAATTACATATCCACAAATCTTCTTATTTGAAATTTTTGTTTAAAAATCCCCTGGCTTCTTATTTGTTTAAATGTTTGTAATATGTGTATGTATCAATAACGTGTTCGTTTCGTTTTCTGTTCACTGAGAATTGTATCCTGACTTGTTCAATAAAGATTGTTCAAAAAAAAAAAAGAGCATGCCCATTGCACTGTGTAAATAGCTGCTACGAGTAACGTTTTTATTGTTAATATTCAAGATTAATTATTCCCTAGTTGTAGTAGCAGACTTGTGTTAATTCACCCCTTTTAATTGATTGTTTTTCACTCACTCTCGGCGTATTTAATTCCAATTTTTGACATATTTAGTATTTGATGAAGTATTTAGTTTAAAGTTAGTTGTATACATTCGAAGTCAGACAGCTCCAACTGACTTTTGACACCTTTACATGGCATTTTGTTTACATATCTGTGCTATTTTGAAAGTATAAAATCAGGTAAGAATGTGATGATTTGCAAATTGTCTGGGAACCATGTTTGTTTCAAAACACAATGACACAAAGGACACAAAGGTAGTTGATACTACACTCTACATCCCGAAGGGCAGGATAGTGTGTACAAAGCAAAACACCGGGTTGGAGAAAAAATATAAAACAACAACAGAACCACTTCCAAGAACCACCTTCAATTGTGTTCTTTGATAGTTGGAGATTTGGTGTTGAATGCTTCTTGTGTACTTGAAAGTGCCTTAATTTATGCCCTTATAACAGAGGAATGATAAACCCAGCCGCTGGGGGGGCAGTGCCCTCCCCTGGGGGTGCACTGTTCCCCAGTGCCGGTCCCAAGCCCGGAGAAATGGGGAGGGTTGCGTCAGGAATGGCATCCGGCGTAAAACTTTTGCCAAGACGACCATGCGAGTTGGTAGGACGGTTTACAGGGGCGGATGGAAATTACTGACTCGCTGTGGCGACCCCTGAATAGGGATGTGCCGAAAGGAGAAGAAGAAGATAACAGAGGAATGATAGCTGCAAAATTAAAAGTGTCAGTCAAAAGCATGCCCACAATTGCCATCTGCATATCCCGCAAATAAATCATCCGTCTGTGGTTTAATGAGATTCCTTGTCTTTCATCTCTACTCCTGTTTCTATTCGCAGATCACTTCCAACAGGAAGCTAATATTGTTTTGGAACAAATCACTGATATGACGGGGACTGTGTGCATGCTCTCAGTAATCACCCTTGCCATCTCTCCATCAACAAATTGTTATATTTGGTTTCCTTCCTTTCTACAAACGTTCCCAAAAATCCCTCACAAGCACAAACACGTGCACCCCCCCCCACACACACACACACAAATGTAAGTATCAGCTGATCAAATGCTGACTGCATGTGGCACATGACCTTGCTCCTGACCACTGCAGGCGGCATACCTTTTGTTGCTTTTCTGTGGTTGTGTCTATAGCTAAAAAAGAAATATGAGTCTTCATCTTGTCCGGCTTGCATGTTAGCTTTCCGAGCACCTAACAAGAGTCCTTTACACTAACACAGTGAGGCTGTCCTTGGTGCGAAATATTTTCCATTTTGCTGGTAGCCAGAGTTTCTGAAAAAAAAAAAAAAAGGAGTCAAGTCATGGGAGAAGCCATGAGGCCGTTGTTCTTTGAGTTGAGACTCACTTAATGCAGCAAAATGTATTCGTCTGGTTTGCAAAAAATAAATAAATAAAAAATACAGTGTCTCGTGGGGTTTGCAGCATGTGCAGGTGTTGCTCATGTGCCAGCATTAACAGACACCCCCAGGCTCATGTTCCCTCATAAAGCGAGGCCATTTTTTTTCTCTATACATTTGGAAACCGGTTGGCTTCAAAAGAGGAGATAAGAGATCTACAGATCAGCTTTTATTTCCAGGAAATTCTATTTAGATTTGATACCTAATTTAGCATTAGCCCTCGAGTGAATGAATTATGAAAGCCTGAATCAAGATTTATTTTTTATGTGTTTTTACTCTCTGTATGGCATTAAAAAATAAGGAGGAGGGCGTGGGGGGGGGGGTTACAAACATCTACTCTTGTGAACTTCATATGTCGAAACACTTAACATACCACAACAAACTTATCGTAAGAATGAGCTCAATTTGGTTTTATAATGAACCATATTTAGATTTGATACCTAATTTAGCATTAGCCCTTGAGTGGATGAATTATGAAAGCCTGAATGAAGATTTATTTTTTTATGTGTTTTTAGTCTCTTGTATGGCATTAAAAAATAAGGAGGAGGGCATGGGGGGGGGGGTTACAAACATCTACTCTTGTGAACTTCATATGTCTAAACACTTAACATGCCGCAACAAACTTAACGTAAGAATGAGCTCAATTTGGTTTTATAATGAACCAATGAACTATTATCACTAGTTAAACCTTCTAGTATGTGTTCATACATTGTGACATCGAGTGGCCTATTGTACAGTCCTACAAAAGAAAACAAACGGCAAAGATGTCCTCTAAACAAAGACAATGTGTCAAAACATGAGCCAAAAAAAGAACAATTATGTGTGTCTCCACCCTTCTTTTATGGTGCAAGACTGGGATGATCACGTCCTCATGTCATGTCATAATTTCAGGAGCAAGAAGTGAAAGTATTTGCATCTGCTCAGTTAAACAATCCTTTGGCTGTATGAATGATGGCAAATTATTGAAACATCAAAAACACTGTATGGGGTTTTTTTGGGGTTTGTTTTTATGTCACCAGAGTGAATAAACTGTAAATAAAAACAGAACACAATTATTTGCACATCCTTTTCAATATACATTTGATGTAATGCACGACAAAGATACGATTTTTAAGGTTCAAACTGATCAACGTTTTTGGGCCAAATTCAGTAAACCGTTGTCAATTAATAACTGTCTGCAGATGCAAGTTAAAACTCCAATTATGCAAATTGAGGACGATGTATCTTTCTCCCCTGTTGGGGTAATTCGCCGCTAAAATTGGATGCATCTTTCTTTGAATTGGCAGATACAATGTTTGTATGGAGTTCTGAGATCATGTTGCCGCATCATCTTACATCACTGAATCGGGATGAGCCCGTCGCAGTATGCAAGGCCAAGCCATGACACAACCTTCACACAGCACATTTGACAATCAAGTTGGACTTGATACTTGATACTTGACTGGATCTCTGTGTTATTGCTGTTTTCCTACGTAAATAATACAAAAAAATGACTGGAACATTTTCATATTTTTAAAGTAAATTGAACACAATTGCCGCTTGAATGCAATTGTTGGTAAACGCGGGATTTATATGGTTTGAGGTCAAGTTTTCAGGCTGGAGCGTCACACCTGTAGGGGATGTGTGTGTCTCACCACATACACGAGCTTCCCTTTCAACTTGTTGCACAGATCCTGATGTGTTTGCCTTTGAGCTTCCTTGTACATGTGTGTCTTGCTTGTAAATATCACTTGACGTGTTTGTTTTTCTGCGGGGTGGTGAATACACATCAGTGTTCTGCATGGAACCAGACTGTTTGATGTATTGCGTCCACTGTGTCCTGTCTATAGTGGTTTCCTCCCTTTCTTTATGAGACAATGTGAGCAAACAAAGAGAATGGGAATGTAAACGTCATCAGATTTTGTGTATTTTGTGTTCCTATTAGTCCATCCATTTCCCATCCTCCTCGAGGGTAAGCAAGAGCTTATCCCATTTGGCGAGAGGAGGGGTCCGGTCAATTGCCAGCCAATCGCAGGGCATACAGAGACAACAAACAAGGTGCACACAGGCCTGTTATTCCACAATTTTCACAAAAATACCAAGGGTACAATTTTGTCCACTCATAAGTAATGGAAAACGTGTCATTTCATAAAACA